CTCCTGCCCTTCCCTTATCTTTCCCTGTTTGCTGCTTGGAGCCTTTCTACATTTTTCATCTGAAATAAGAAATTATGGATATTTTTATTTTTATGGATTTGGTTAGCTGGTCTCTCAATAAAATTTTTGGAAAAACGTTTTTTTTCCCCCTTTTTCTTCAGCTTCGGCATTCAACATGTAACCATAGAAAACGCCACATACATTTAAGTGCTATGATTTCTTTTAAATTGACATGGAATTCGTGTCCGGCGCCACCGAGCTATGATCCGCGTAGCCGTCCTTTCCGGGCTGCTCGGGGATCGGCTTTCCCCGGCACAACCCGTTTTTACTCCGGTCTCTTTCCTCGGAGAAGGCTGACCGTGGTTTAGCTAGCATGTATTTTTCCCGCGGGTGTCCCTGCGGTGCGGTATTATGCTAAGCTAAGGCGCCGGACATCTTCGGACATCTTCGTGCTTCCACAGAAGTCCCCATTTTTCATAGCCGCTACTAGCTCACTCGTTACACGGATGTGGTAGCTAGTAGTTAAGGCCTTCAGACATCGACGTTTCCAGCCAGGACTGAACTGGAAGCTTTTCCAGATTTTTCGGACCATGCGCTTCTCATCTTCGGCATGGTCTGAGCTATCTTTCTCCGGGGACGGAGGCCCAGGCTAGCGGGGTTTCCCACTGGAGATCATGGCGGCAAACTAGCTAAGCCGGTTAGCCACCTAGCTAAGCTAAGCAGTGCGCTATATCTCAGTGTGTTGCGCCGAAACTGGACCCCGCTTTTCAGTGGAGAAGCTGGAGTCAGGGTGCTGCCGCTTGGTGTAGCTTCTAGCCATGGACGTGCTATGTAGCTTGACCAGGGCAGTTGCAGACTGCTGCTAGCTGGTTTGTAACACATGATGTGTTGGCTGCTATTGGCTCGCTCGCAACACAGAGATGTTAGCTAGCTGGGTTAAGACATTCAGTGGTCGGCGCTCCCAGCCAGGACTGGACTGGGAGCTCATCCAGACCGTTGAGCCAAGCCGGGTTTTGCCCCTAGCATGGAGATGCACAAAGTGGAGGGGGTGACCGTCTTCGGTTCCCGCCGGTCCCAGCACTAGAATCTTCATCCTCCATGGTCTTTGTCACTGAGGCGGAGCAGTCTGCCGGATGGCGACCTTTTCTCTCACAAGCGGTAGACCAGCAGCTTGGCAGCTGGGCCGACCAGTCCCGTCATCGTGCGGCACAGTCGGGTGCTGCAACCAATAACATCACTCTCCAGGCTGTCAACTTTAAAAAAAACATGAAGGGACCTCAGCACGAGTTCGAATCTCTGCGCTGTTTAGGCCGGGTGTGCGTCCTGCATCATGGTTTGGAAGCAGGAGAAATGTGTATGGCTAAGGCTAGGTCCGCTAGTTCTGAAACTAGCTGGCCTCTGGTCCTTGCTAAACAGAGTCACACACAAAAACGTCTTCTCTCACCGTTCCACGTTCGGTGGTCCGTTCCACCCCCTCGTGGCCGGCGAACACACACACACACTCTTCTCTTCACCCCGCCAGCGAACGGCGGACGTAAGAGAAGACAGGCAGCATGAGCCACATCACAAGCAGGGGCGTGTCACCCTCCCGTTTCGGTTCAGCATGAATCCACCAATCACAGCCGTGCGGTGAGCGCTGTGTTTGGCTCCGCTGAAACTCGCCTTAACTCATGCTCACGTACGGCCCCGGAGGCAACCCCTCACGGGCCGCACTCAAAATGACGGCGCGCAGGGCTCCCTGGAGCTCCTGCATAGCCCTTTCGAGCAAAGCCTCCCATGGGTCACACGAGAGAGCGTGACGGCAGCGAAGGCTCTGAGTGGATCGGTTGCTACGACAACTGTTCTACAACCGGCGCATGTGCGAGCTCTCTCAGAGTGCAGCTCCGTCTGGGTACACACCTGTCCTGTGGACAAGTGGATGAAGCGCTTGATAAAAATGGGTTACAGGTTGCAGTTTGCAACCAAGCCTCCCCGGTTCAGCAGGACCCTGGAAATCCACTTGTCATCTCCTCAGCAGGATCTCGCTCTTCAAGCAGAGCTTCAGGAACTCCTAAACAAGGAAGTCATTTCCAGAGTTCCAAGTGGGAAGGAATATGAGGGTTTTTATTCCCGGTATTTCCTTGTTCCCAAAAAACCAGGTGAAATGAGACCGATCCTGGATCTCTCGCTTTTCAGCAATTCATACTGAAAAGACCTTTTTCACATGTTGACAACCAAACAGATGCTCACATGTTCAGGAAGGCGATTGGTTCACCTCAATCGACCTGAAGGATGCATATTTTCATGTCCCGGTCATCCCGGCGCACAGAAAATACCTGCGTTTCTCTTTTCAGCAGACTCAGTACCAGTACAACCGTCTACCTTTGGTTACGCACTGGCACCACGCACCTTCTAAAAATGCGTAGAGACAGCACTGTAGCCTCTGCGCTCAGCGGGAATGAGAATCCTGTTTTATCTGGACGACTTGCTCCTGCTGGCTCCATCCAGACAGGAAGCAGCGTCACAGAAGGAGAAACTGTCAGAACACCTAAGGATGCTGGGTTTTTCCATAAACTGGAAAAAGAGTTCTCTCATTCCAGCCCAATCCATCACGTATTTGGGTGTGGATCTGAACTCAGTCACCATGACAGCTCATCTGTCCCTAGCCAGAAAAGAGACTCTGCTGTCATTGTTAGCGCATGTCAGATCCCGCAGGTCAGTGACAGCTCTAACCATCATGCATCTCTTGGGCATGATGACAGTAGCCCACGCGGTGGTTCCACTCGGGCTGCTACACATGAGATGCTTACAGCAGTGGTTCTCCCGGCTAAAGATCGATCCGATACGCCACAAGCGCAGGATCGTATCAATCCCCTCCTCAGTGGAGGCGGATCTGAGCCACTAGAGGAAGCCGCACACACTGTCGGCAGGAGTCCCTCTGAGCAGAGCGACACATCACGTGCCGGTCTTCACAGACGCGTCACTGTCGGGGTCGGGGGGGACATGCTTATCCCAGACTGTGGGAGACCGCTGGTCTGCCCATCCTGTCCACCACATAAATGTTCTGGAACTTCTGACTGTGTAGAAAGTGCTTGTGCATTTCACTCATCTGGTCTGGGACCAGCATGTTCTGGTCCACACGGACAGCAAAGTGGCAGCGGCTTACATAAATTGCCAGGGAGGGGTACGCTCCTGGCAGCTGCTGGACACAGCCAGAGAATT